ATTGTTAACCTGCCTTATCCCATGTATTCTTCTGGAGTTTTGGTGCAATTTTACACTTCCATTTTACTTCTGATGGCTGGGTTTCATCCCAGGAGATCTAGGTTTAATTGGTATGCCCTGGGCATCCTGGCATCAGGTCTTTGAGAAACCCTAGGTGATTATAATGTGAGACCAAGTTGGAGAACCTTTGTCCCACAAAAAATTACTGGTTTAAAGAGGTCAATACGGTTGTTTAATCAAGTCAAAATTTCTAGTCATCTTCTTGTATTACGGATGAACTGGCATTGTGGCACACTGTATTAAACCACTGCCCGTGATGCTGGCATTCTATATGGATACTGCTTCATGTCTCATCTTTTCCACTTTCAATCTAGTTCCTTGCTAATATGCCTGGGAAACAATGGAAGACCACACATGTCCTTGGGCCCCCGTGACCATGTACCAGGCCTGGGTGGAGTTCCTGGCTTCTGGGTTAGGCATGGTCCAGCACTGGTTGTTTCAGCTATTTGGAGGGAGAAAACCAGCAGATGGAAGATATCTTTCTCCATTGCTCTGCTTCCAAATAAATAAAAATAAACCTTAAAAATAATATATTATTGCCTATACCACTGTATGCTATATATACCTAACTCATAGGGTTCTTCACCTGATAAGTGAGTAAGTAAGTAACTGGAACTAAATCAACTGCTGTTGGTATTTTGCAATACCATGAAAGAAAGCAGTTATAATGCTGGGCAAGGCCATGGAGTTGAGAATGTGCCATTATCTACCTGAATGTGTTGCCCACAGACAGGATGAGCACTTTCCTCATCAGTTTAAGTCACACATGTACCAACTCTGATCACAACCTGTATTTCCCCAGAACATAGCAATCTCCAATTCATCAGATACTTGTGAAATGCTTACCATGTCCTTTCAGGTCCCTGCAATAGATGTTTGCCTGTTATGCTCATGACAAGTGGAGGGGTCTTCCCTATTTAGCGCATTTTACAGATGGGAAACAGGTTTGGACAAGAGAAGTGATTTTTCCAAGGTCATGGGTGGGGGAGGCTGAGCTGCCCCTAGGATATTCTGTTCTCCTGGGCACACAGCCACAAAAGTGATGGGGTCTTAGGCCCAGCGCCATAGCGTAGTGGCTAAAGTCCTCACCTTGAACGTGCCAGGATCCCAAATGGACACCGGTTCTAATCCTGGCAGCTCCACTTCCCATCCAGCTCCCTGTCTGCGACCTGGGAGGGCGGTCTAGGACGGCCCAAAGCCATGGGACCCTGCACCCACGTGGGAGACCCAGAAGAGCCTCCTGGCTTCTGATTGGTTCAGCTCCGGACGTTGCGGCTGCTTGGGGTGTGAACCATCGAAGGAGGATCTTCCTCTCTGTCTCTTCTCTCTATATATCTGCCTTGCCAATAAAAAATAAATCTTTTTTTTTTAAGTTACAGTTTTTTTTTTAAATCTGATTCTTGGGAACCTGCCACTGGGAGTTTCAAGGACCTTTGCAACATTCCATCAGGAGTCAAGGATGCAGAGGAACACAGCAAGGCTCGTGGCCAGAGTGAAAAATAAATGAAAGCTTAAAGGGGGTCTCCTTCAGGTGGCGCTAACACAAGAGACTTGGACTGACTTGGTTTTGGATTCTATGGCTCTTGTGCTCTAGCTGCTGTTTCCTAAGAGACTCCTTCTCCCCACCAAGTGCGTGGGTGGAAAGGTCATTGTGTCAGCAATAGAGAAAATGAGAACTAATGAGAACACAGGAAGAGCTTTCTGAGGACTTCCTTAGGGTTCACTTAACTATTATTACCTTTCTCCCCCTCAGGGAGTGTCCTTTGTGCAAATCAGATATAATTCGATTGCCAAATGCAAAATGTCTTGTTAAATGGATACCCTTTTTTCATTCCTAATTTATTTATTTTGATTGCCTGGGCATCCATGTGGTTTTGTTCATGTGATTTCAATAAATCCAAAACGTTTGTTGTGAAACCTCATTTTTTTATTGATTATTTTGAGACACAGAAAATAAGCAGTCTTCTAATTGTTACTGCATACATATAATTTTAAAAATAAAGCCACCACTTCTTACCTCAAGTTTTAAGAGGCTGTTACTAAAACCCTCTTTGCATTCCCAGAGAAGGTAACAATCTTTTGTAATTGTTCAAAGGGTATTTCTCTTGCATTTCAGATTTCTGGGATGATTACTCAAATGTTATCCTTGCTCTTAGGACATGTTTTTAGGGAATCAGAGAGGAGGGAAGTGGAAGCTCCAGAGAGAACCGAAGAACCTACTTACAGCAGCAGAGTGCGACCATGGGCAGCCATGTGCAGTGAGCTGGGGAAGTTAGAAAGCTGTGGCGGAGACGTGTAGGTGTTGTCCTAGGAAAGTGAGCAACTTTGCTGTTTCATGGGAACAGCCAGAAGGCTGCGTAAATTTTGCTTATTTACTGCCTTGAGTTGGAATATTGCCAATGTAAGGTCATTTCGTTTGGAATCAGGGCAAATGACTTTGCTGCTTTCAGCGGCATGCCAGACTACTGCCAAACGTGGCTTATTCACGTGGCTTGTTCTAGCAAATGTCCACATGCTGCTGCAGCCCAGGCTGCTGGGTGTCCCCTTCTATCCTCTCCACGGTGGAGCTCTGACACCTGCTCTAGAAGCCTTCCGGGGCATCCTCTGCTGGCTCGGGCAGCCTCTCTCACAGCCCTTGCCTGGTGCTGTTAGAGGGTGGGGTCTGGCAGGCAGTGGTCCTCTGTGTTTGTAAAACTCTAACAGCCATTTGTCATCGATGAATTTCTATCCTCGAGGACTCTTTAAGGGCCTCCAAAAGACACGTTTCAAATTCAGATTTTCCAGTTTATTTCATGTGGTTACCCTGTTTTGTTCCTTCCAGGCCTAACATGCAATTTGATAAGTTATGGACCATGGGCTTTTAATTAGCCCATATAGCTAAGTCAGAACCAATTGCTGCCACTAAGAGGGACTACAGCTGGTGAAGAAAAATGCCATGTTCTAGGTATTTGAGTTTGGAAAGGTTGTCAATTTGTAACAACTGCCAGTATAACAATTCTGATTTCCACACTGAGCCTTCTTAAAACAGCCACAGTGCGTTCATGTATGCCCAGAGAACTGTGGCAGTGTGGTGCACAGCACTTAAAGGCATCTGGACTTGGAGTGAGGATGTCTGACTGCAAACACTGGCTTAACGGTAAGCTTGATCACTTTGGGCAAATCCCTCCTCATAGCCCTGGTTTCCTCATCTATAAATTGAGTAAAATAATATCCACTTGCCTATCAAGTAGGCTTCTCATTAAACTTAAAATGCTTCCTTTGCCCTTCCTATATCATAGAAGAGCATAACTTTGGATCAAAAAGCCTGGGATAAATGTGAAAGTTGCTGTGGCTGGAAGAAGCCGCTCCTGCTTGCCTGCTCTGTTCCGCCCCCCATTCCTTTCTATCTTAGGAGTGGAGGTGGGGATTAGGATTTTGTACATCCATACACCAACTCGAAAGCTCTTCAACATGAAAGGACTTAAAACTTAGCTGAATCTCTCAATCATAGTCACATGAAAGTATTTGAAAAGTTCATGGGAATGGGATTAAAACTTAAATTTATTTTAGTGCAAAAGATTTGAAACCTATTCAAAGGGCAGTCTTCAAAGAGTTCGTGGAATAGGCATTTTATGAAAAGAATAAGCATGGATTTAAGAATATTTTTGCACCCAAATGAACTTATTTGCTTAACATATGTGCATATGTATGTGTGTATGTACATATGTATTTTATTTCAAGGCAGAGAGGCCTGGGTATCCCACACAGCGTCTTAACCACTGCTGCAAATGCCTGCCCCTACACTTTTGGACAAAGTTTTTAAGGTTATCTCATAGACTTCTGCTTTATATACAGATAAAGCCTCCCAAGAGAGCGTGCAGAATCTGTTCTGATGTGTAAAGTTCTAGAAACTTCACCTGCAGCTATCAAGCAGAACACAGCAAGATTCGAGGTGAGCTCCTGTCACCTCACGTGTTGACTGAGCTTTCAGTCATGTTTGTGTCAAAAGTTACTATCGAAAAAAAAAAAAAAACTATCTAACTACCAGCTCAGGTGACAATTCAGAAAAGTGCAGCATTTTGTTGCCATTAATTTCCAGCCAGATCTTTCGGCACAGTAATGGGAGGCCAGCAGAATTTTTATCAATAAATTGTCAGTTGTATAACTATCCTTTTCTATGTCCAGGTCTGTGTCTATATGCAAATCTACATGCTTTCTAATCTGCCATTAAGGACCGTTCAATCTGCTTAGGGAATTTTCCCATCTCTTAACAGGAATGACAGTAGTAACTAGCTTATAAAGATGTGGAGGACACAATATATGCAAGGTGCTTCAAGTAATACCAACAGACTCCAGAATCGAAGTGTCCCAAAAGTATGAGCTATCATTATTGTAAATAAAAAGAAAAAAAGAAAAGAAAAAACACCTTTTTCAATCAGTTGTAGGATAGAGAGGGTCGAAAAACAAAACAAAAACGGCTCCACAGAGGCAAGAGCTTCTGGGAGCTTTTACAAATGCAGAGGCTCAGCCTGGCTGCATCCACTGCATCCAAATCGGTGTTTTATTAAAGCCTCCGGGCTACTGGGGAGTAGACGCAAGCTTGAGAGATGTTGCTGTGGAGCACGCCAAGGTGGCAGATACTCCTACTTTTGGTAAAAGGACTCACTCAGAAAATTTTGTTCTGTCTTATCAGTGACTATTTAGCCCTGGTTTGGACCACAGAAAGTAGGCTTTGAGACAGGAACAGTGACCACGTGCACCTCCCCACTCGTAAGGCAGCCCCAAGGGAATGAGCAAAACACCGAGCCCAAGCCCTTGCTAAACAAATCTAAGCTCTGGCACGTTTGGGAGAGAACAAACCCAAACACAATTCTTTCAAAGGAAGATGGCATCATTAGGAAATCTGGAAGCAATTTTTAAAAGATCAGGAATGACTAGAGGGAAGGAAAGAAGTCACTTACATTAACCCAGGGATGCTCAAGGACTTGCACAGCTGAAAATCGCTGATCAACATCAACCAACAGCATCATGGTGATGAGCTCCTGTAAGGAACATTCAATTACAGTTAATTAACTTTTCATGTGAAGATCTGTGTATTTGTAAACACAATCCTCTTTCAGTTTGGAAAAGCTGTAAATCTCAGCCAAATCAACTTACCCATAGCTACCTCAGTAGCGCCTTTGAAAGTTAAAGGAAAGGTGAACAAGTAGAATTAAAAATACACAGCTTATGGTTGATAGAATAGACAAATGACATTACTATTTAAATCAATCTCATAATACATGCTTACAGTAGAAAAGAAATTACTCAAAGTTAAAGAATTAATACTAGATTCTTTGTCTAGGATGTTACACTTTAAAGACAAATTTCTTCATTACTTTAGCATAGATGTCATACGTTAGAAACATTTTAATTAAAGTTGCATGTTGGCAGCTGAAAATAAAAATGGGTTCCCTACACCCCCTAATTTCCAGATGTCATATTTATCCTTGAAAGAAGTGAATGAGAAAAGAAGTAAAAATGCCAACTGCTAGGTGATGAGATAGGAATAACTATTTCTTATTAGCTAAAGATTCTAAGGACATAGGTATAAAAAATACTTCAAATAATTCCAGACTAATCCACACAAAGGAGACACAGTTGAACAGAGTAGGAGGTTTGGGATGCTGATCTCAGGGCAGTTGGAAAAAATTTTTGTATAGTTCTCTCTCTCTTTTTTTTTTAACTTTCTATTTTTAATTCAAGAAGTAGAAAACAAGAGAGACAGAGTCTCGACAGAACACAAGACATTTCCCATCTACTGATTCGCTCCTCAAATGCCTGCAGTGGCTGGAGACAGATGGAAGTGAAACCAAATTCTATCCAAGTCTCCACTGTGGGTGGCAGAAACCTAATTGCTGAGCTAGCACTCCACCCCCCACCCCCAAAACTGCCATCCCAGAGTCCACATTACTCCATTCCTAGTAGGAAACTAGGATTGGACGTACAGCTGGGATTCAAATCCAAGCACTCGGACAGGGGAAGTAGACACCTTAACTGTTAGCCCAAATGTCTGCCCTAGTAATGTAACTTCTGACATTCCCTAAAACTTAATTAGTAGTAGCCCTCAGTTGACATGAAACCTTCATAATAATACATAGTCAACCATGCCTATGTTGTATGTATTATGCATGATAAAAATATTAAGAAATTGCAACAGTTTGCTCTTTCCTGTAATATAGAATTTGGTGGAGAGAGCCGCACTGCTGTTGTGAGGATGAATGCCCCTGGTGTTATAAGCAACACAGGAGCTCGCCACAATAGCAACAGGAAGCGGTGACAAAAAGGCAAAAGCAGTATGCACTGCAGTTAATTTATGCAGTTAAGATTTAATATTGCAGCTTCACATCTGCTTACATTTCTCTTGATTGCCATCTACAATGTGTAAGTGCTTATGTTTTTAAGTTTCTATAAATATTAACTTTTCTCATTCATGTATATATTTTATGTTAATAAATGTTAAACTGCATTATTACCTAATAATACTTTGTGCATTCATAACATACATAATTTAATGTGTCTTAATATTTTTTTGATATGTGAGCTATTCATTTTGGCAAAAAAAAAAAGAAAACAACCAACATGTAGCTTCCAACTTGCGTTGCCCAAGAACTACCAAGAGGTAAGGGACCCTGAATAGTTCTGAATATTCCCTGTGAACACAGCTTGATTTGAGGCACAAATTTGGTCCTTGTGACAGGCTTGCCATCCAATTTTCACTTTAAATTAGAAGTTCCCACCAAGACAATAAGTTTAGACGCGGTTATCTCATTCCTTACATATACACAGGGTATAGCAAAAGAAAATACATACATACTGGAAAATCAAAACATAATTATTACTCAAAATCAAATTTTCAACAATTGAAGTCAGTGCTTGGAGAGAAAATGTAAGTTTAAATGAGATTAATGAAAAGATTTTTCCCTTTATCTCACAAAGTCTACTTAAATCACAATAGAAGATTTTTATTGCTTTCTTAGAGATTAGTCTGTTATTATTTTTAATGTAGCAAAATAAATATTACCACTTTAATCACTTTTTATGTGTATAAATCAGTGTCATTCAGTACATTCACAGTTAGTCAACCATCATATTATGGCATCATGGAGGTTGACTTTTTTAGTTTAGTAAGATGAAAGTCATACACTTTGCTCCCCTATCTTTATTTACTGGCGATGGATAAAGGTTTAACCTAAATCATAATTTCTCTATAAAGTCGTTTTTGACTGAATTTTTTTTCATTTTGATCAATTAATTGACCAATTCACTTATTCTTACATTTATTTATTCAATATATATTGAGTACGTATTATGTGTTGGCCATTATTTAGGCACTGATGAATAAAGTAGAAAAAAATCCTTGCCCACATAAAACTTACATTCTAGTAGGGAGAATGCAGAAAAATAAAAAGCATAAGACCTATCCATTGATATGTTTCTATCTAGATGTAAACAGATACAGCGATGTCATTAGCCGGTATACCAGATGGACTCAGGGAGGCTAGTAAAGCAGAAAAGGAGGATAGCTCGGGTCAAGTGGGGCTTAAGAGCTACAGTTGGAAACAAGGTAGTCCAGAATGTCTTCACTGAAAAAATGACGCTGAATCAAGATCTGAAAAGAAGAAACAATATGCTGTGCCAAAATCTGAGGTAGACTTAAGGCTGTCCAAGGTGGGCCCAGCAAGTGGCTGGAGCAGCGTGAGTGCAGCGACAGGATGAGCTGACGCTGGTGAGGTGAAGACTCTTGGTAAGCACATGTGGAGACAGTTCAGAGAGACGTAATGAAAATCTCGGAAAATCTAGTAAGTGCAACTTAACTACATAGAAATCATACATGTGATATTCTTTTCCTTGTACACAACAATTTGGAATTACTCATTCCACCAAGACACATAGGCTGCATGGAAGAAGCTGCTGCTGGGAACATACCTTCGCCGAATCAGAAACGTTATCCCAGTATGGAGAAGGAAAGTCCACTTGCCCCATCAAAATCTGATCAAAAAGCACCTCTTGGTCATCACCACTTCTGTTCAGACGAAGGACAACAAGAACACAGCACAAAAATGTCAACTCGGGGTATGTCTCTTCATGTTTATGCATTAGGGCCCTTCCTTCCCCCATAAATATGTAAAATGTGCATTTTGAAAGCAATTGAAAATGTCAATATGGAACTGTTTTGGTGAATTAGGAAAGAATGAGTTTTTAAGCAACAGGAAGATTTATGGAAGCAGATAAATTAGCATGCATACCATGGTGAACATCACAGACATCGCAAGTAAAGTCCTCATTATGTTTTTTCCCCCCTGCTTCAGGCTCCTTTATGCAAAAGGGCAAATGGATCATTCAGAGCATGTAGCCATGCTTTGCTGGTGCTGAATAAAAGACTGCTGCCCATACCCACGGAATGGAGGGAAACCGCACAGCAGAATGTATGTGATTACACCAGCTGCCCAGATGTCCACCTTGAGGCCGTATCTGGAAAAAAAAAAGTGATGTCAGAGTTAGCAAAGTCAGGTCAAGACAAACGAGGTGACATGATGAAACTGATGGCAAACTAAAAACAAAGAAATTTCAAAAATACTTAATAGCATATACTATACTAATCCACCAGCTACACAGTGCTTAAACATAATGATAACAAATATTTTCAAAAGATACATGAATAAAAAATTAATGCATATCTGGGCCAATATCCAAATATCAGAAAGCAAAGGTTTGCAGCAAAAAGATTTCTTGTAGTGATACAGCTTTGAGGCACATTGAGACAGACTACCCTTTAATTTTAGACATTATAATTATCTATAGAACATTTTCCAATTTATATTATATTATTCGGCTTTCCCAACAGCTCCGTAGGTTGGACAGGATAAGTATTAACTATTTTATCGAAAAGAAAACTCAGCTTCATAAGGGAGCATACTTATGCTCGCGCTCACACAGGCTGTGAGTGACAGAGCTGGTGCTCCAATCAGTGTCTTCAGGAGTCCAGCAGCCTCCTCTTTCCGTAAACATCCTAGTTGCCCAGCAGCCATCAATATACACCCCCATGGGAAACCTGGCTGTCCCCTGGCAGCTCTGTCTGAGGAAAGTCAGAGTGACAATACTGGCTCCCTCTTGGCTCAGATTGGATGAATTACAAAGAGTCTCACTCCCTCACTTCTTACCAGAAAGATTTCTTTCTGGGCTTCCATTCTTATTTGTGTACTTCTGCCCTTTGCACCAATGCTACCGTAAGAAGCTCCATTCCTGAGCAGTCACAATAGATGGTCCTATCTACACCTCTGCACCTGAACTGAAACTGCTAATCAGCAGCAAAATCGGGGCTGCCTCCTCTGGCTGCTATTTTCTCCCCATTCTGTCTATCGAAAGTCAGAAACAGAGAGACCTGTCCATGGCGCTTGGTAAGACATGTGGCCCTTTCCCTGAGAGATGCTTCATTCTTGTTATTTAATTTAATTTTACTTGAAAGCAGATGTTTTAGCTGTTGATTTACTCTCCCAAAACCTGCAACAGCCACAGTTGGGCCAGGCCAAAATCAGAAATCTGGATCTGATTCTGGGTCTCCCAACAATCTGAGCCATCACCACTGCCTCCCAGGATGCACATTCTCACAAAGTTGGTGTTGGAAGTGGACTTGAGACTGGGACCCAGATATTCCGAAAGGATGCAGTTTTCTCACTGTCCAAACTACTGCCCTGAAGCCTCACCTTTGAAACAGCCTTTTATTCAAACTGAAACTGAGTTAAACCATGACTCAGACACTGCTACCTAGTCATGTGTTTACATGAAACTTAACCCATCAGCTTAAAAGTATTCATTTATTCATATCTAAAATGGGAACAGTCCTCTTGACTGGCAGAGCATAAATTAAGGTCAGCAAGTTTAAGGCCAGATGTAAATAAGGCATCCCTGACTTTCCACTTCTCTCGGCTTTCTAGGATGGAGATTTTCCTTCACCTGACTTTGCACAAGGAAACCAATAAATTCCCAGTGACCTTGTGGATTTCCAAGAGGGCCAGAATGGGACAGGGATGGGGAAAGGGTAGCTGAGAGAACAACCACTAGAGATTGTAATCAACACTCAAGGTAGCATCTGTTTCTTTTAGCTCCACAAGTGAGTTAATTGTCATGGCTGTGGGTTTCTCTGTTAGTCTGAACATTTTTTATTCTGAGGTTAATAACTTCGGTTCTCGCTTTAACAAAGGACAAATGGAAGCCTTAAACAAGACTGCAGTAATTGGCAACTTGATTGGGGAAAATGGAGAAAATGGCTCCCACTATAAAAGTTGGGGGTTGGGGGGTGGAAGTGCAAGAAACTTGATAGCTAATTCAGTCTGGGTGGGAAAGAGCCGTGATGTTTCTTACTCTCCAAGCAACCATGTTATTTTGCTAGCATAGCACTGAAACACAAAGACATTTACCCAGTCTCTGCGATGATTTCTGGAGCCACATATGTTGGGGTGCCACAGACTGTGTACAACGGGCCGTCGACAATGGTTGCTAGTCCAAAGTCACCCAGCTTCAGGGATTTGCTGCCGTCTTGGTGCTCATACACCTGAAACCAAAACATAAGCACGTCACTTTAAATCCAACAGCTCAAAAGCCATTTCTTAGAGAAAGGAGAAAACTGTGGTTTAAATTCAATATATTAAAACAATTTTTTTAATGTGCCACTATGCATGGATATATAGCAAGGACATCTTTCCCTCTTTAGATTGCAGTAAAATTGGAAATACTGTGAGCAACTGGCAAATTCATTAAATACACTCCAGAACACTCCTACCAGGGAATGTTGTGTGACCATTAAAATACTGATACAGGCTTATTTTAACTAAAATGTATTGTGTTTGGAAAGTGAGAATGGCAGATTTTAGACTTCCTTGTATGACATGTTCGTTAAAGACAAAAAAGAAAACCGGTGCAAAGAAGAAAGTCTAAAAGGTCAGTGTGAGTACGCCTGTACCTGGGTAGTAGAATTAGGGGAGACCACTTTCTTCCTGCTACTTATCTGCACTGAATGCTTCCTACAATTAAAATGTATTTGCATATAAAATGATGACTAGAAAGTTTCCAGTGTAATATCTCCAATTTATGAAAACAATTACTTTTTCAGTTCAACATAGGAGCTTTAAAAATGAAGTTCTTTTAGAAGCTGAACATAAAAACCCATCTACACATGTATTAAAATACTTTATTTTCGGTGCCCTACATTTCCAGCAAGATCTATTTACATTGTATTAATAATTGAAAGGGATATTAACATTTCATTTCACCTGTGGCAATTTGGAAAGATTTACCAGGTGCAGAGTCAGCATTCTGTCCAGGTTTCCTTATTAAGGCAGTGAAAGTTTCCAGTCTTTTCTCCCAACAAATCAAGAAAAAGATACATGTGACTCCAGGCAAGTATTGGTGGGAGCCCCTTTTTAATTCTAGCCCATCATCGGAACAAATGGATATGCTCTAAGATCATCCCAAGCAACTTTTTTTTTATTTCAAGGAAAAGATCAAAAAACATTCACAATTCTGATTCAATACCCCCTGTTGGAATCAATATGACCAAGAAAAGGAAACCACAATCAAAGGCTAGTATTTCCAACAAGGGCAATTTTTAGGAGGAGATGCCTCAAGGAAACAGCCAAGTTTTGCTTGTACATCAAAATAATTCATCCAGCAAGTCAAGGCTTGCATGCTCTTCTGTTATCACTCTCTGATCATCTGTTACTTGCTGTGGCAGTTTGAACCCCTTGCACAGCAAGACACATCTCCACACATCAGGAGCCCTGCTACCGTTCACATGCCATGTCTGCCTTTCTTTGGAAAAAGTAGATTAACTTTGCATTCCATTGCCACATAAAATGCAGATGTTTGGCCAGCCAAGCTGAAATGTCAGCAATGACTCTTTGGATCCAACTGTTATTGGCAGAGGCTGGCTGTCGGGTCTTCCTCCCTGGAGAGACTGAGTCTTTGCTGGATGGAAACTACTCTTTTATGTCTTCTCCATTCTTAAAACATCCCAGGACTCTGGATCACGATTAAGTTTAGGCTGTCCTGTAGCAGGCATCCCAAAGACTTGGCGGGGTCAGCTGCACTTTGCCATGTGTTCTTCACAGATGTGGGTTTGTCCAGATGTCATCTGGGGGTACACACATCCTTCCTTGTCAGTGTGGCAGCTGTCTGGCTCTGGTCACCATTAATAGGTGCTAGTTAGGGACTTTGAGACTTCAGAGCTACAAAACACGCTTTTGCTCCTGACTTGCATGTTCTCAGGCAAAAACAATCTGTAAAGGGTAGCATGAGCACATCATCTATTCTGGTTCATCTGGACAACAAGCAACTATTTTCATAAAAAGAATCTGAAATTGAAAGCATCTTAGAGATCATCTATTTTCCAACAAAGTAAAATTGTTTACTTCCTTACTTCCATTTTGACCCCAGTAACCATCCTAAAATGCAATATAATCTCCTGCTTTGATGTCCTGCTAAATCCAAGCACTCATGGTGTGTACTCTGTCAAGGCTGTGCATATTTTGATCTATTCATTATTTATGCAGGAATTTTGTGATATAGATGCTATGTAAAAAAATTCAAATATCTGACAAAAGCAGATGTTGGCAGATGTGGCTATAGGTATCATTTCTGGTCTGAATGTGACCAGGTAATTCTCTACCATGATGTAAAGGTTTTATATTGGAGCACTGGTATTTTAATAGAAATTTCATCTAAAAACAATGATACAGCAATCATTTTAATATGAGGGGTCTTCAAAAATAGCATAGAAAAATACATTCTATGCAAAATCCATGCATGGATTTTACTTTTCCACCAGAATAAACTTATCTTTTAATTTACCACAAACTTTCTGAAGTGCAAGCAAATGAGAAATATAGTTCAAAGCATTAATTACTAAGAAAGTACTAAATTCTATCTAAAATAGAGTACTAAAAGTAATTACACAGCAAAACCATCTAAATATACATCAACATAGCTATTTTATTTAAAGTTCCTTTTATCTCTCTTTAATTACTTGTACAATGTTTCTTCTCCTCTCTTTTTGTGCTTTGAAAACTGGATAAAATTTTCATGAATATAAAAAGGTTCATGATGCTTAGGAAACAAAAAGAGCTTAGAGACAAAGGCCATGTTCACGTAATTAAAAACACACCTGGACACAAGTATATTAGAAACACTCCAACAAAATGTTTTTGCAGGTAAGTTAATGTCCAGACTTCTAGTTCAGAATTCTGTTTTACTGTCAGGCAGGGCACGTAACAAAGTTGCACAGGCTTTTTCTCTGTCAACACTTCAGGAGAAGGATAAATGGCTTTTTGCCCAAAATTTCTTCTTCATCAACTAGACAGCCCTCTGCTAAGTGGTATAATGAGTCACTTCACAAACTTGCTCACAATGAGCACCTGTTGTAACCTGCACTGGAGGTTCACCCTTCCTTCTTAATAAGCCAAGTGGAGAGGGGCATACACGTTTTCATTTTAAAATGTAATTCAAACTTGGTATAAAACATCAGATTAGGTGCTAGCGCTTGGCCTAATGGTTAAGAAGCCAGTTAAGATTCCTTCATCCCATATCAGATCAAGCATCCGAGTTCAATACCAGGCTTCAATTTCCTCATGAAAAGAGTGGACAGCAGTACTACTGGCTTTGGGAACTAACTTCCCGCAACCCACGTGGGAGGCTTGGCTTTAGTTCCTGGCTCCTCATTTTGACCCTCACCGGGCAGTAGTTGTCATGGGTATTTAGGGGAGTGAACCAGAAGATTAAATCTCTTTATAGCTGTCTGTATGCCCCTCTCTCAAATACCTAAGAAATAAAAAAAAAATAATAAGATTGTTAAATGCATCTGTTTCAAACATGTACCTTCACAAGCATACACACACACACACACACACACACACACACACACAAATCTTTGCAAAATCCCAAGTGGCAGCTATAAATTCACCTTGCACTGAGTTTTTAATTAAAAGTCAGGAATCAGGGTTTGGCGTGACAAATCAACTGGCTAATCCTCCACCTCCAAGTGCTCGGATCCCACACAGTTGCCAGTTCACGTCCTTGCTGCTCCATTTCTCACGTAGCTCCCTGCTTGTGACCTGGGAAAACAGAGGATGGCCCAGGTCCTTGCGACCCTGCACCTGTGTGAGGACCTGGCTCCTGGGTTCGGATCAGCTCAGCTCTGGCCATTGTGGCCATTTGGGGAGTGAACCAGTGGATGGAAGATCCTTCTCTGTCTTCCATTTTCTCTGTAAATCTGCCTTTTCAATAAAAATAAATAATTTTTTTAAAGAAAAATAAAAAAGAAATCAGAAAATCCTGTTCACAAGTGTCCATTTAAACTGTCCAGTCTTTGATTTTCACTGCTCTTGGAGTTGAATCTGACTCCGCATTTCACGTGTCCCCTCACCCTGACTGTTCTTCAGAAAGGATGTTAGGATGCCAGCGACAGCTGAGAAGGCCTCATCCAGAAAGTGGGTTCTAGTGCATGAAGAACTTTCTGCTCCAACTGTATTTTAAAATGTCTATAAAACATGACCCACATGTGAAGTGGGAGTCCATTAATTGTAAGTCAAAGAGTATTCACCACATGAGATATAATTTTAAGTTCATTCCAGGCCCCTTATATACAATAGATGGTCCCCCACGTTTTAAACACTAAGGAGCTATTAAAGAGACGGGGATTAGTGCAAATTACCCAGTATGTAGTGCTTTCACTGTTTTAACTAAGCAATAAAACTGTGTAATTGTACAACACTAATTGAATGCAGCCACACATAATTGTGGGCTGCCATATGTATCCCATTAATATAAAGACTGTCAGTATTTTGTAAGTTGCTCTTGTGATCACTGCAGATGGCTACAGTCAGAGAAGTTGTTCTCTAGGGTTTACTATATAGCTATAAAGATATCCCATGATTTGACAGACTAAATGTGTTAAATTGCAACAATTATGATAAAGGTACCAATTAAAAGCTGAAGTCAGGTCCTGCTGAGAAAAAGGAGCCAATAATACGAAAGGTAAGGTATGTGGGTTTCGGGCACACAGAATTTTTCCTTTGGGATCTTTTTCATTTATTTTCAGTTTTTCCACTAGCCATAACTTAGTGAACAGTAGATGTGGTGCCTATGCCTAATTTTCCTTGGATGAGAAACTGAGACCAATCGGAAGAGGGAATAGGCAAAATAAAACATTCACTATATAGTCATAAACTACAGCCGGTGGGCATAAAATCAGATGAAAATTCACAGATAACCTGAACCCAGTCAAATGGTGTCTGAGATTCCTATAACAGAGAACAAAAACTGACTAACATAACAGATGTGTTGGAACAAACATAATTCTCAACGTTGCTACGAGTTCCAGGATAACCTTGTTGAAACTTGGGCTAATGAATCATTAGTAACCACTAAAACAGTTTTCACAGAAGAGCTCACCAAGCAGTAAAATTATTTCACCAAGCAGAATTGAACAAAAGTGGCATGAAATCGACAAAGCCATGGAAAAAGCTCAATTTACTTTTTAACATATACGAGAGCCCTTTA